TCACTGACAATATTCTTTTGGCTATATTTAAGATACTTCAAGTGGAAAAGTTCAACAGTATTCGATTTCAGGCTTCGGTCAGAAACTGAATTTCATGAAAGAGCCACTTTGTTTGACGAACAAGACAAAACAAATTTGATGTAACAAGAGAGCAATGAAACATAGCCCTGCTTAATTTCGCAGAGCTGTATTAATATTGTAAATGAACACCGTCATATTGTTCAAACTAAACGAACCATTACCAAACGGTACGTCATACCTGCATAGGTCAGCTAAGGTTTTCAACTGTAGCGGCTTTCGAACTCAGCTTTAAAATGACCAAACGTCGTTACTTAAGCAGTTACACGTTATTTTTACACACAAAGTCCACAAAGATATTTTACCATGTGAATCATCGACGTATTCAAGAAAAGATAGGGTTTAAATTACACGAATGCTTGGATTCAACTGTTTGGAAAACAAGACTTTTGGTCGAACTGAAAATCAAAAATGCTAGTGAGGGGCCCAATTTCTGCTAAGGCATCCACCCATCCCCTCTCCTCTCTAAATCTAAGACTTTCTATATCCAGTTTGGTGCTGGGGGAAGCATTACCATGCCTTAAACTGAAATAATGAAAAAAAATGGAGATCATGAAAAAAATATCTGTGATGTAAATTAGAACCCTAATACCCTCCAAGTTTAGTAATGGTAAAAGCCTCTATACAATATATATGTTCAGCTCTAATTAAATACAAGCGGATTCGATTGAAAAAGATTTAAAAAATAATAAGGAAAACTCTTTATCATTAAAAAATGAGTGAATCACATTGCTATCTTTTGGGAAAGTTAGACTGACTTATTAATTTCTTTAGAGCAATTTTATCAGGTTCTAAGCTAATTTCCTTTGCCAGAGTAAATGAACTTGAAATGTGGAACCAGAATTTTTTCCTCGAAAGTAAACAACTTTTTCAACAAAAATTTAAGAAATTGACCATGCTTCAATATCAAAGGGGTCCAAACTCGGCTCGTTTCTGCTTTTTTATATCTATAGAATTTGATTTTTTTCTGGGAAAACTTGAATTGTCAAGTACAAACATTTAAAAAAAGAAATTGATTTTTTTACAAGTTGAAAAAACTCCGACTACCAAATACTAAATTTTCTCTTGTCTCCACATGCCAGACATTTGAATATTGAATTAGCAACGGAACAAATCGTATGAAGAGTAAACAAAGCCGACATCAGGTTCTAATATAATTTCCTTTGCTAGACATGTAACACATAAAAAACATAATAACATAATATAAAAAACATAAAAACACATTAAAAACATTAAAAGTCGAATTTTTTAAATGTTGAAAAAAGGTCTAGCAAAATTTAAATTTTCCCATATCTCGACATTCCAGACATTTGAGTTTTGAATTAGCAACGGCACAAAGCTTATGATGAGTAAACAAAGCCGACGATCTTTGAGCATGTGACTTTATAAAAATCCTTCAAGTGTCAAGCCCCACCTAAAACTACAATGAGCAACACTTGAACTTCCAACTAAAAGAAACTTTCTTCCAGCAAAAGAAAAAAATCTTGATATGGCAACTAAGCCGACAATCTTTGAGCAGACATCTTTAATTTAAAAATCAATTTTACGGATCTTTTTGTTTAACCAAAGATTTAAGCTACCCAAAAAATGCAACGAAAAACCCTTGCGCATAGTGCGGGTTTAAGCCGATAATCTTGAAGGGATAAAGAATGAAGAAATGTGGGATCAAGAATAGAACAATATAAGAGGTGTGTAAGAAAAGTTGTTTTCGGTGAAAAAAGCCTAGTTCCCGATAACAAGACAATTGCTCTCATAAATGTAATCATTCCTTTTACAATAATTGGACTTTATTGCTTCGTTGTATGTTATATCGGCTCAGTTGCATTAAAAAAGGTTGTTTGAAGGACAAGAGTATATAGTCATGTTTTTTATTTGCTCCGGGGAGCGTAACAAATTTTTAAGTCAATAAAACCTTTAGGATACTTCTTTCGGCTCTACGGACGCATACCAAAATAGTGTCCCCGTAGTTATTGTTATCTCAGAGCTAACTAAACACTTAGGCATACATAAAGAAAGAATTTATTTTTCCTTTTATAAACAATATATCAGCATAATTAAATTTACCACATTTAAAGCAGGAACGGATAGACAACGGGACCTGTTGGTCCACTAAAAGTCTACCCTTCTATTCAAATTAAACATCTCTAATGAAACAAATCAAATTAAACAATACGAGCAAACATATTTTTATTTAAATACAAAAGCTACAGCTCGTGAAAAAAAAAATATATATATATATGTCTATTTATAAATTTATGTTGACATTAATTAACTATCGAATTAGTACCAAACTTATCAATACTTCCAGGGCGCTGTAATATTATATGTATATTTTTTTTCCAAGTTTTTCAAAAAAAATTAGTGAGAAAAATCCAAAAAAAATCAAAAAACCTCGATTTGTAGATGCTAGTTTTTTTAGTTTCTTTTTAAACAAAATTTCAAATTTAGTGATTTCCACCGTATTTTCTATCCACGAGCTTGCAATGATATGTGTCTGATGTAATTGCGAAGGCCCTCAATTAATTGAGCGCTATTTTTTTAAAATTAAACATTGAATTTATTTGTAACCGCTGAACTGAATGCGTTTTAATAATTAAATGTGCTTTTTAGAATGCATCTACTCTCTGCTTTAAACTGGTCCCAAGACTAGACTTTTTCAAACAGATATTTTTTCGATCCCGAGACAACTTATTCAAAGTTTTCAAATATCGACTGACTCACGACTGAAAGGTGTGCCTTGATGTCCAATTTTGCACAAAAATACCTGAAGACTAAAATCATCCCTTCTACATAATCGTAACGATAACCCTACAAAATTTAAATCATATTTGAGACGTTTTTTCTTCCCTGTAATTTAGTTTAAGGGTGAATTGACGGCTAATCTGATCATCATATATGATCTCTAACTGGGTGAAGAAATCAGAAAATACGGCTACTACTTGATCGGTATAAAATTCTGTTAACGTCAAAATTTAATGGGACATCTGTTCACTTAATAGTAGTGCATAACTGTATGTACGGGCAAGAGAAATACACTCCTATGAATTTTCATAATCGCTTTATACGTCAAATAGAGAAGCCAGATTACATCATAAAAAGCATTGGCTTGACATAATTTGACAGGATCAGTTCTGAATTACATTACAGATTGGTTAAAAATGTTTAAATAACCGTAAAAAGAAAGATAAAATCACCCATGAGTTTTAACACAATGTCAAATTAATAACTGTCAAAACACTTCCATTGTATTAAGATCATTTGCAAGTTAATAAAAGTACTGCTGGATTAATAAATAGACTGTCAAACTAATAAAAAAAACGGTTTACAGATTTAGTCCAAAAAACAAATTGACAGATTTCGCCCTATTTTTAAAATTCTCTCCCAGTCCCCAAATGGTGGTCGCGCTTTGGTACTGGCGCAACAAAAGCCTCCAGGCGTTTTCATAAACAGCTCGCAACACACATCAACTCAGAGAAGATACGAAATCTGTTGATACGTTTTTTAAAAAATGATATGAAAACTGCTGGTAAAAATATGACGAAATCTTGTTGGACCAAATCTGTTCGCACTATAAAAATGTAGCAAAATTAGTATAAGCACAATTTTATTATTACAAGACACTTGCTTCGCAATTGTAAAGAGTCAATATAAGTAACGTAGCGAATAGTCTTACATAGGTCTTGATGATTTTTTTCGTTTTTTTTTTATGTTTCAGGATAAAATTGTTCTCGCTCAGATTTGATTTTCGAAGTTAGAATTTTGATTTTCTTTTTCAAGTTCAGTTCAATTCCCTTTTCAAATAGAAGGTAAACTCCACTATCGAACAGCAAAAATGTAAAGATCACAAAAAAACGTGATCGGTTCCTAGCTTTGAAAGTGATTTTAAATTTCAGATTTCCCAGAGGAAAATTTTTTTCAAAATTCTTAAAATTTAAAGAGCTTTACGGGTATATCATTTTTCTCTGGAAATCGAAAGTTTTTTTTTTCAAGATGAGTCAGTATTTTTTCTTGTTTCTTTGACTATTTTCCAAATGTTGGCTATGTTTAATTTAGAATCACTTATTAGCTTGGAAGTTTCTTAGCTACCTTAAGGTTTGATCAGCAATAGGTATTACAAAAATAATTTAAAAAAAGTGGTCGAAGTTCAAATCCCTGGGAGGGGTAGGTCGTTCGGAAAAAAATACCAAAGATTTACGGTTTTCGTCTACGCAGTTTATTTATATATTTGTAATCCATAGAAAACAATTTTCATTAGCTTTTAATCAGAAGTAGACAGAAGCTACTGTCGTGTTCTCAGACTTAGAGCTTTTTAAGTCTGTGTTGATAAGCAAACAGAACATTAGTTATCTTAATATAATTAATTGGTTCTTTATTTTTAGCACAAATGCTTAGGCCCCTAAGGTCTGATGTTTGAAGCGTAACATAGGAATACCAGTCCAAACTATCGCAATCAGGGAGAGAAAAAAATTATTTAAATGTTATAAATGCAATCGATAGTCATTAAGTTTCAAGTAGTTGTATATTTTTAATTGACAATTCATATTGAGCGAAAACTGACGTTGTAAATAGTACAATCGGGACCATAATGCAGGTTGTTGACGTAGGTTTTCATATCTATCAAAATCAGATACGCTTGTACCTGTTAAGATCTATACATGCAAAGATATACACATCTGTATATTGTAAATAGATTATAATTGATTAAGAATGACGAAAGGGGAAATGGGTTTCTGTAAAATGAAAAAAAAATAGTGACAAAATGTTTTAAAAAATTATTAATGACGAAAAAAGATATCATGGGTTCGGTAAAACTTTTGTGATTAATTTGTCCCCATTCGTGTTAAAATAATTGCCGAATTTAATTGTTTTGTAGGCTCGTGTAAAAAAGTGAATAATAACTATCTTGTAACTTTGTTCCGCAGGTGTGTTTCTCGCGCTCGAATGAGTACCAGCTGAACGACAGTGCCAAGTACTTCTTGGACGATCTGGACAGGATTGGGGAGCCAGACTACCTGCCGTCTGAGCAGGATGTGCTGAGGACCAGAGTGAAGACCACTGGCATCGTCGAGACACACTTCAGCTTCAAAAACCTCAACTTCAAGGTCATTTTTCACACTTTACTTTCTTTTTTTTCAGCAAAACACGTTAATTTCATATAACTATTTGGTTTATAAAACGTGTCTAGGATTGTTTACTTTTACAAACAATCAACTATATAAACTGAACTGCACGTGGCACCAATTATTTCTATAATTATTTATTAGCTTAAGAAAAAAATTATTGGTAGAAGTAATTTCTGAATCCACCGAATGATCAGTCAATTGGTACTGATTCGTGTTTCAACAAGGACCAATACTCTACATTTTAGATTTCTAACAGTTTCGCACAGTTACTTGTGTCAATTTAATGGGCTTATATTCTCAAATTATTTTATTAAAATTGGCTGGAAACAATGAAGGAAAACTATGTTTTAATTTTGTTATTTTATTTGAAAAGGACCAAAAGTTCTTCAGGCTGAAAATTTTTGCGCAAAAAACATTGGCTATTTTTCTTCCCCCCCCCCCACCTGCAAAAATTTACTAGTGAAAGTTTGTTCATGTTATTCGAATGTTACGAAAATTGGCATGCGAACTATTTTAGGCCATGCCAAACATATTTGGTCTTTATGTTTAACCTTGCGAAACCCCTCGTTACAACATAAAATTGATGTTTATGCGAGGTGGGGGAAAGGAAAAAGAGCCAAAAAATTTAATGCTTTCAGTCACGAAGTGAAAGTTAGTCAATTCAAAATCGAATTGATATTTTTAGAAAATTAAAAATTCTAAAGATTAAAAAACTTTTAATTCGGTTTGTATGAATAGACTATATATAGACAATTAGTGCTAATTGCATGATGAAAAAAGTGCAATGAAAATGAACCAAAGTTTTTGATTGCTGAAAAATTGAAAATATCAAATCAATTTAGATGATTAATCCACAATTCAATGACAAAATATAAAATATAAAATGCTTTTTCTTTCTAAATTAATTTTCATAACAATTTTGCAGAAAGTGAAAAAGTAGTTCGCTATTGAATTACAATTTCTCTTTCTGCAAAACATTATGAAAATATATATTTTTTTCAATTTCTGACTTCATTATCAGGTGTTTGACGTGGGGGGTCAGAGGAGCGAGCGGAAGAAGTGGATGCACTGTTTTGAGGACGTCAACGCCATCATATTCTGCGCCGCACTCTCCGCATATGACCAGGTGAGTCATTCACAGAGAGAGAAGTCGAACGAAACAAGATACTAATTAGTAGTAGTCAGTAGTAATTAACTAGATAACCAGGCTTGTCAGTCTTCATTGACAGGCAATCAGTAGAAGAACGAAAAAAGACACAATATACAAACTAGTAGTTGGTAGTTAGAAATTAACCCATATATGGATCAATTCATGAAATTATCATTTGGAATACGACTAAGTCAGTTGAATTAAGCACTACACAAGACCACTACACTTATCGCCAAGATGGTTACATAAATTGAATCAGTGTTCAAACAAAACAGTCCGGAAAAGTGCACCTTTGATTCACAATTGCATTATATCAACTAACTAATTACTAGTTAGTATCTTGTGTCTTTCTTTTTCGTTCAAATTCAGTGCCAGTTCTTCTTCTTGTTAGGACGTTTGCAGGCATTGCTGCCTTTTGTCCGCCATGGTTAAGTTGCGTACAACAGCTCTCCACTGTTGGCGGTTTTCAGCAGTTTCTTGACAAATCTCCATCCACGTTTCCTCCCATTCCTCATATTGGGCGACGATAGGGTTTTAGGAGCGGTTCCAGTTCTTTTGCGACTTGTCTCATCCAGGAAGTTTTCATGCCTCCGCGCGGTCACTTCCAGGAGTCGCCTTTCATGAAAGATAAGCAGGCTTTCGGGAATCTTTCAGGTGGCATGCGAAGGACGTGACCAACCCATTTCAGGCGTGGTCTCTGGATTACTGTGGCTAGTGGCTCGGAGGCTTGATTTGTGTGGAATGGTCTGCACCGACGATCGAAGCTCTTGAGTTTGCTGAGTTTGGTGGATGTCAGCGGCCATGATTCACAACCGTACAAGAGGGTGCTCCTGATGCAGGCGTCATATAGTCTTAGTTTGATTGAGTTTGGAATCTCTCTTAATGTCCAAATGTTCTGGAGGTTTTTCCAGACTCCAGTGGCTTTGCCGATACGACTACGAACTTCGGGTTATGTTCTGTTGCAAATGGTCATTGTGCTTCCTAAATAGCAGAAGCTTTGAACAACTTCAACTCGCTCGTTGTTATGAATCAGATTAATGATGTCATTGGTGCTGATGGCTTTTGTCTTCTTCACGTTAATGATTAGGCCAGTTTTCGAGGCACTTTCTGATACGCGGATGAGCAGCTTTTGGGCGTTGTCTTCGTCATCTTCTGGCAGACAGATATCATCTGCGAAATCGAGGTCTGTAACTGTCGCGTTGTCTAGCTCGAGGTCAAAGTTTTTATCGGCTAGTACGTTTTTCATGATCCAGTCTATCACCATGATGAACACTAGAGGCGATAACACGGAGCCCTGGCGGACACCTGTAGTGATCTGGAATTTTCGGTATAGTGAGTTGTTCGCTCGCACTTGACTGAATGTTTCTGAATACATAACTTTGAGGATTGAAATGATATTTTCTGGCATTCCCAGAGAGGTGCAAATCTTGTAGATAACATATTTACTCACGCTGTCGAAAAGGGCTTTGGAGTCGATGAATGTCATGTGCGTGTGTCGGCTGTACTCATGACGTTTTTCGATTTTTTTTTACCGAAGCGCAAAGATCTGGTCGCGGCATCCACATTTCGGCCTGAAGCCGGCTAGATTCTCCATTGCGATGGCTTCGTATGATGTCGCAATGCGTTAGAGGAGAATATGTTCTAAGATCTTGAGTGAGATTGACAGGAGTGATAGCGTGTCTTTTTTTTCATTCAAACTCAGTGCCAGTCACACTAACGGAACCTATTCTCATAACAAAAGGACAGAATGTTCGAATTCCCCCTCGTTCACGGTTGGAGGGGTCCCAGTGTCACCCGCCACCTCGAGGTGGGACCGGCTGCGGAGAAACTGATGGCATTACTTTTCCCGCGGATGGTCCTGCATTGAGCAGAACGGGGCTAATAATAAAAAAAGTACCGAAATTATCAAGATCCTTTAAACAGACCACTTTGACTGATTTGCCCACTTATTTCATTCGAACTTTTAATAACTGAACTCTCATTGGCTTATTTAATTTTTGTACTGCCCCGCCCACAAAATAATTTCTGACAACTTAATACAGTAATTAGAATATGAGTTAGTTGAAATGCTCAAACACACATTTTCTCAAAAGGTATAAAAGTTCTTTGTAAATGGGTATTTCGAGGTGTTCAGGAGAGCTCGAAAAATCACAAGATTTCGCCTAGTAAGAAAAAACAACAATTTTTTTTTCAAACATTATCCCCGTATGTTCACTCATGTAAATTTATCTCCGAAGAATCATAAAATTATAAATCAAGTTAACATAAATTTAAATTAGAAGACATTTATTTGAAAAACACTTAATCAAGATCAAACATAGACCAGCAGAGCTGTAAATTTAAAGGCATGTGAGCACTCCTGATCATAAATAAAAAATTTATAATCAACATATATCACTTCAGAAAACAACCAACTCGACGACAAACCCGTATTTTTGTCCAAAAATTATTTACATTTTCATGTTGAAAAAAAAGACCATATAAATCCACTTGGAGCTCTACTACAAACTCCGCCTAACTTCTTTGATTTGGGCTCACTTGATTTGATATTTTATAATGATTTCATTTGATTACTTGCCGATGGCATTTAAAGATCCAATTAATTTTCAATATCAACCAATTTTCAATCCAAAAACGTCATTGCTGTATTCTGCCACTAATAAATGAAATATAACTGTTTTTCTTTTTATAAATAAAAGTGACATTTAAGTCAGCGATGAGAAGTCTACAAAAGATGCACTTTAAAAAGAAAAGACTGATGAAACTAAAACGTCATAAAACTACAATAAATATGAAACCAACCTTGCTGTTTTTAACCTGAAGTATTAAGAATTCAAAAGCAAAATTTAAATTTTATCAGATATAGCCAACTGACAGTTGGAAAAGAGTAATGGACGCAAGGAAACAGAAAAAACTGACTGGTTTTTTTTAAAAAAACTTCAACTTTCAAATTTTAAAGAAACAATATATATCCTGAAAGCTCTTTGAATTTCGCCAATAAAAACTTCTCTTTCACAAAAATTAGAAACACAAATTTGAGCTATAAGTATAAAAAATTTTCAAATGGTATCAAAAGCTCTGATCAAAAATGGTTAAGTAAGAAGCCGAAATTTTTCTGGAGAAAAAAAACTTTACCGAAAAAATATTTTGCTACTTTCCGTAAAGAAAACATAAAGAAAACGCCGTTAAGAAAACATATTTTGATATTTATTTGCTATCTGCATATATACGAGTAAATTAGTCCTCCGAGACATTTAATTTCATGTTTTCCACAAAACGATATAAAAACAAAGCAAAACGGCTCTTATCAGGTCGCAATCTGAATTTTATGACTGTCCATTGAAACAGCAATCGCCTAAAAAGCTTGATAAACTTTTCAAAAAAAAAATAAAAGAAATGAAATGCAAATATGAGATTTTTTTTCCAAAAAATCATTCCCTCACACCCATATTAAGTAAAAATGATAGATTTTGCTCCTAGTAAAGTAGGAAACAAATAGAAGATAAACAAGGCTGCTCGTATCATGACGAGGCACTGAATGTTCCGACTGCCTTCTAAGGTCTATGGACCAGTAATAACTTGGAAAATTAAATTTGAAAAAAAATAACTTAAAAATTAAATGTAAAAAAAATAAGATACTTTTTTTTTAATTTAAGATTTTTGCAAAAATCATCCCTCAACACGCCATATAAATTAAAAAGTGACAAATTTCGCTCCTAATAACAAATCAATTATGGCTTATAAGCTTCCTTCAACCAATTTGGAACAATTTTTAAGACTGATTAAATCTCCACTTACGCGTTAATAGCGCCAAATATATCGCGAGCTATTTGTCCCAAAGTGGCAATCTTTAAACCCCCATAACTTAACAAAAAATGATCAAAAGTAAATTACTTTTTCAAATTTGACCTCAAGACAACAATACCTTTCGGATGATATGAAAAATTCCCTCAAAAAAGGCTAGTTAAAAAGTCAAATTTGTCTGAAAAAAAAACACCCCGAGCACAAATAATCCGCCACTTTCTTCGAAGGTAGCAAAAATAACTGAAAACGAAAAACAGCAGCAATTTGTGCACATTTTCTGCATTTTTGGCTCTTTCATTTCTATTTACTCCTTTCATTTCTATTTTGATTTTCTACTATTAAGAAAAAAATTGCAGCCCGAAATTTGTTCATTTTTGGAGACAATTATCCCAGCTTATTTATGTCTATTTGCGTCAAAATACGGCTGGTTTTAATGAATAATGCTGATAAATGTCAAAAACTATCAATTATGTGAATTAAAGCGGAAAAAGCCTCCTCAGTTTGTATAAAAAGACGACATTTTCTATTATTAACATTTTCTTCAGTTTTGCACATAACGACGACAAACAAATTAAATAGAAAAAATGCCCCAATTTTAAGAGAAAATCTTCAAATGAAAAAATGACTGAAAATCAATTTGAAATTTTCATTCTTAAAAATAGAAAATACATATCCAGGAAACGTTGAAAATTGGCGGAGAAATGCTAATGTTTTATACAGCCGAAAATTAGAAGTTACGCCTTAATTTTTACCAGAAACTTTTCTCATAACCCTACCTCGTTTTGCAAAAAATAGTTTGCTGATTCATAATTAGGTACAATATTCGCATATTCTTAGCTGTTGAATTAGTCTTATTTTACGGGTGGAAATTCTTTGAATCTTGTTTAACACCCAAGGGGGTAGGGAATTCGTAAAAAAGTACCAAATAAGTACATCCTTAATCGTTGGTTGAGCTCATTACATGGGTGGCAATTTTTCACTAGGTACCAATGATTCCGCTTTTCAAGATCTCAAAGTGACCCACTCGATGAGACAATCTTTAGTAGCCGTGTCCTAGTGGGATTAGACACGCGTCTCTCAGCACGAGGATCGTGTGTTCGAATCCCACTTTGGTCACGGTTGGAGGGGACCCAGAGTCATCCGCCTCCTCAAGGTGGGACCGGCTGCGGCAAACCGGATGACATAACCCCTCCACAGTTGGTCCTGCAATGAGCAGAACGGGGGCTAATAATAATAGAAAAATGAGACAATTTTCTTTTTTGTCACCCTCGAGGCATTTTTAACAGTATTTTCTTTGCTGTTGTAATGTAGCAGCTGGTAAATTTAACTTCAAACGACAATTCACTTCGGATATCTCATCAATGATATTAGTTTGAGATATACTTTTTATTATTTCCTCTCTAGGTGCTGTACGAGGATGAGACGACGAATAGGATGCACGAGTCGACTCGGCTGTTCGACTCCATCGCCAACAACAAGTGGTTCGTGGACACCTCCATCATCCTCTTCCTCAACAAGAAGGATCTGTTTGAGGAGAAGATAAAGAAGAGTCCCCTAACCATCGCTTTCCCCGGTAAGCAAAAAAAAACAAGGATAGTCGGTTGCCGTGAAAGTAGCACAGAAAAATCCAACCAAAAAAAAAGAAAAGCAAAAAAAAAAACCATTTTTCTTTTGCAAATTGAAACGTTTCTTGTTCGTTCGGCTATGAGCGGATCTGAAGGAAAGCCAATTAAAAATTAACTTCAATACTAACGGTTTTTTTATCAAAAAGTTGATCGAGAAACAAAGAGCAAATAAAAAAATTAATTTTTTTCACCAATTTTTTGCAAAATTTTGAAATATTTTTTAAAGATTTTTTTTTTGTGGCCAAGAAGGCGCAAAAAGAAGCTTCAAAAACAGTATTCCTGGAGTAAAACTAACTTCTAACATCTTATTTGCGAATTCTAAGCCTGCTCGCTCGCTTTATTTGCTCGAAAATGAGACCAAAAATCATAAAACTTAAGCCGGTTTACTCTCCACCGAGATTTTTAGGAAATTTTTAAATATTTTAATAGATTTCGAATCACGACTGCAAGGGCCCGTAATATGATATATCACTCGATCCCTCCCGAAGCTTAATTGTGGCACCAGAAAACAAAAAAGAAGAAGTAATCAAAAAAACAGACCCTAATACAAAATTCCATTTAGTTTACATATTATGTTGTCGGGCACGGATCTTCATTTTTCTCGAGGGGGTAAGAGGATTTTCATAAAAGTTTTCGAAATCAATTTTTGAATGTTTTGCAAACACTGCCTCTTTTTTACTGGGGAAAAACGCGCTCAAAACCATCCAAAATCGCAACAAATTTTTTCGGCTATTTCATTTAAAACCATATAAAATTTTTGCCGCATCATAATTAGTATTCGAGCACTAAAAACCAAAATTAGAAAAAATTTCAAAAATCGCTAAAATCAACGATAACGCAATTAACAGAACACAATCGCAAAAAAAAAAACGATGAAATACTATGAAACAGCCAATATACGGAACAAATTAAGTCTAATTTGGGTTTGAAAAAATATATATATTTCAGAAATGACAAAATCTTTACCCAAGCCTTGTCAAAAAAAGCCTAAACATAGCTTCAAATGCCAAAATTTATACCTATGAAGCTGTTTTAAGCTGACAAAAAAGCTCAGACCTTTCAAAAACCTCCCTAACTTCCTTCAAAAATAGCTTAAGCGACTAGTAATAAATCATCATGGTTAAGCCATTAGTAATAAATCATGAAATAAATCATTGAGGTTAAGCGATGAGTAAAAAATCATGCAATAAATCATTCAGGTTAAGCGAAGAGTAATAACTCATTAAGGGATTTTTAGAATATACCGGAGCGAACACTTTCACAGAGGCTTCAAGTTACATCCAAGCGCAGTTCGAGAGTATGAACAAATCGCAGACGAAGGAGATCTACACTCACATGACATGTGCGACAGATACAGAGAACGTACAATTTGTATTCGACGCTGTCACTGACATTATCATTGCTAATAACCTCAGAGGCTGTGGGTTGTACTAACCCAGCTAACGAAGTTATGAAGACTAGGACTAGTTATAAATTATAACTACGGCAAGTTATCATGATGGCTTGTTGCAAGTTATGAGTTATAACTATCATAGAAAATAGAAGATTCAACCTACATACCACCCAACTCCCGTTTTTATTACACCTGCAAACTAGAAAATGCCACCAATACGAATAACCGATGACAGAGAAAACTGATTTTGAAAATTTTGGTTAAATATTGGCTGGTTTTTGAAGATCGAAATTATCTTATAAAAATTTCAAAACTCATAGAAATGTGCAGAAAGTTGTGATTTTGTTCCTTTTAAATTCTTTTTCAAAATAAATCTATCCCTATTTTAATATTTACCGATTGCAATTATTTGTATTAAACGTCATATTATGGTGGAATACGTTAATTTCTATCAACAAGAAGCTTTTTGGTTATAAATGGATGTGCAATAAACTCTTTTGAAGAATAACTTTAATTTATCTTTCAAGACTCATGCAATTTGAAACTAGAACTTGTTTTTGAACAAACAAACCTGGAGAAAAGCATTAAAATTTATAAATAATAGTTTCAATGCTGCAGTAACGCCGAAAATTCAATTACTCAAAGCTGCAAATTTTGGCCTGAGGTGTTTTTATTCAAAAAACAAACTCAAAGTAATTTTGAATGAACTCGTTCTTGATAACCTCATTTTTGCAGTTGTAGATTAATTATTCCCAGTTTTTCATCAAGCTGAGAATTACACAAAAAGTTTCTGGATACTAAAGTTGTTTTCATTTAAACTTCGATTAATATTGAAAAATACAAGCCATGTAATTCAGAGTTTTATGAAACTGGAATTAAACATCTGCTGGAAGTTTTCTTCTTAAATTTGTAGTTGAATATTTCATGAAAAATATCTTTCCTATTGTACCACATGAAATATATTGTAAGCTTTTGTCGAACCTTGATGATGCTTTGATTGAAGAATTTACTTTTATTTCAACAATAATTCAGTAGTTAAATTTATTTACCTGGGCTCAAAAAATACCAAAAAAATGTCGGATAAATTTATAATTAACCTTTTTGCTGCTGCTATTGATAACACCGCCCTTTTATGTGTAAACAAAATCAATGACTAATTTTCCAATTTACCTGTTTTCAAAAAATAATCTCGTCAAAGGTTCCAATTTGAGTACGAAAAAACGGAGCGAGTCCTGTCAGGGATATTATTGCGAATACACTGCCGATCTGCGTTGAGCTTCAAAATGAATTGAAGAAATCGATTATGTTTGAGAAGTAGCAAGATAGAGAGAAAGAGAGAGAGAGAGAGTGTAAGTGTGTCGGGGAGGGGATTGTTAAGTTTCTATCCTGTAGTGGCGATGTCCTCTCTTAAAGTCTACCACTGCAGTTCTTACCCAGGATTGCTATCGGCAAATCAGAAGCCGAAGGCAAGCCACCTAGAGCGATTGCACTCATTATCAACCCACAATTTCTAAGATTGGCTGACTAAGTGCCGAGAACCAAGTGACACTTATCTTGATACGTTGCACGGTATCTTGCACACTAACGCTTATCTTTGCAGAAATTTACCGTGTTATCAGCGGGTAACACGAAAGTAAATGTAGACGGTAAGCAACATTGTGCATGGTGCAAGATGACCAACTCCAGCGAATACGAGATATGTTGCTAATTTGTTTCCTTGCGGTTACTTCTTCAGGGAAACAGAGCATATTTCGTAATTTGATTCATCATGCTAATTCATAATTTGAGTTTCATTGATTTTTCGTTCCGAATTTCGAAGAAAGTGAGGAATATATACGCTTGGGTTTTTTTTGTCCAGACCAATTTCACAAAAGTCGACTGCAGATGAGTATTGATCCGCAAATCATCGGAATGCCAATTGAGTATGCTTGCCACTAGCCTAAATGCAAATGGAAATTCTCGATTATTAGTTAATAATTTCAACTCGCGAAATAATCAGGCGAATTATCCCGCACTTATAATCGTTCCAAACTGAATTGAGACAAACTAATTAGTCATTTTAATTCGACTCAAAATAAAGCACGTTATATTTGAAACTGGCAGTCAAAAAATTTTTATTCATCAAAACTTTGATAAACAATAGTTATTAAAGACCAGCTAAGGGACAGTCAGAATACAAATTTTTCGTCAATTTTCTAACAAGAAGAACGAACAATGATTTGTGATTAAACCTTTGATAAACCTTTGATAGCCGGTTACAGAGCAAGTTGCAAAGAAGGTTCCGAACATAGTTTAAAAAAACCAGAAAAATTGTTTTCTAGAACTTAGGCAAATTGGAAAACAGTTTTTATAGAAAATTGAATAAAAAACTTGAGAAACGTCAAACAAAATTTCCGAATATTCAATTTTTTTGCAGAAATGTTTTGAACGTCCGAAAAATTTTTTTGAAAGTTTTTGATTCCTAAAATGGCGCAATCAAACTGCAAAAACTAATTTTACTTTGAAAAACTACGTTTTCACGGCTTTAATTAAGCATAAACACAAAAGGAGCAGCTGCGATTTGAACCAATTGCGATACAAAACCAGAAAGCAGCTAAATCGGCATAAACAAAACATGCTCAGACAAAACATGCCAAGACAAAATAATATGAAATTGGCATCGGTGAAAAACTTACCAAGCTGTAACAAAGCCGAAAATCGCTCAGCAGAAACCCTCTAAGCCGAAAAAAATCAACTAAACTCATAAAAATTTAAGAAGCCCCGTAACCATCAAAACATACACAAAAAACTTTATTTGCTCGTCAAATGAAACAATTTGAGACCACTAAGTCGATATAATAGAGGCAAAAAAACCATTCAGCCGAAAAAAAAATCAAATAAACAAAAAAGACGAAAAATAACTTTAAAAAATTTAAAACTAAAAAAATTATTAAGTCCCCCTCGCCATTAAAACACTCACACGCACAAACAAATTTTATGTTCCTCGTCGCAGGACGCAATATAAGGTCATTAGGCAGACATAATAAAGGCCTAAACCTACCAAACAGCAAAAAAGAACAAAAAAAAAGCCGATGAAAAAAATGTCACCAAAAATTTAAACTATAATTTCTATTAAGATTTTAACAATTTGTGCAATCCAGCGAGCATAAAAATTAAATTTCTCATGAAAAAATTTAAAATTAAGTCACTAATCCGATAAAATATAGGCCGAAATCATTTGGGCAGAAGCAAGTTTTAGAGCGAAACTGATAACAAAACTGTTCAAAAATGTCGAAAACTAAACCAGACCTAATAAAATTTTCATACACTTGTTTTCTTAACAATAACGTCTCATAAAACTACAAAGCAGTTTTTTAAGCAAAAATACTGGGCCAGATGCGCGCTGAGCCGAAAAAACTGATGTTCAATTTTTTTTTTGTGCTATGAAGCATTTTGAACATAAACACAAAAGGAGCAGCTGCGATTTGAACCAATTGCGATACAAAACCAGGAAGCAGCTAAATCGGCATAAACAAAACATGCTCAGACAAAACATGCCAAGACAAAATAATATGAAATTGGCATCGGTGAAAAACTTACCAAGCTGTAACAAAGCCGAAAATCGCTCAGCAGAAACCCTCTAAGCCGAAAAAAAATCAACTTAACTCATAAAAATTTAAGAAGCCCCGTAACCATCAAAACCTACACAAAAAACTTTATTTACTCGTCAAATGAAACAATTTGAGACCACTAAGTCGATAAAATAGAGGCAAAAAAACCATTCAGCCGAAAAAAAATCAAATAAACAAAAAAGACGAAAAATAACTTTAAAAAATTTAAAACTAAAAAAATTATTAAGTCCCCCTCGCCATTAAAACACTCACACGCACAAACAAAATTTATGTTCCTCGTCGCAGGACGCAATATAAGGTCATTAGGCAGACATAATAAAGGCCTAAACCTACCAAACAGCAAAAAAGAACAAAAAAAAAGCCGATGAAAAAAATGTCACCAAAAATTTAAACTATAATTTCTATTAAGATTTTAACAATTTGTGCAATCCAGCGAGCATAAAAATTAAATTTCTCATGAAAAAATTTAAAATTAAGTCACTAATCCGATAAAATATAGGCCGAAATCATTTGGGCAGAAGCAAGTTTTAGAGCGAAGAAAAAAAGAGAACACACAAAGTCAAGAAATTACCAGAAGTAAATAAAAACACGAAAAGCATCTTCAACGTAAACTGCGGACAGCAAAAAAATTATACCATGTGGCAACTAAGCCGAAAAAACTTAAGCAGACGAAGTAAAAGCCGAATTTTTTGACGCAAATTTGAACTGAACCTAAATTTACCATTTCTAATTTTGACCATTCCAAGAACAAAGTTATTTACAGTATAAATGTCTATTACCCGATTGCAATACTTTTGCTTATCGCAAGGGTAATAAGCTAATTTGAGCCTGCTCGCTCAACTAATCAAAACTTCCAAACAGGTTTTTCTCGACACTGAGAAAAAATTTTCGGAAAATTTTGACTATATTTCAAATCACAATTGAAAGTCCCTCAATATATCACTCAACACTTTCCCGCGATTATTTTTGGTACCTGATTTTGCACTGAAAACAAAAAGAATAAATGAAACATACCTGAATACAAAGTTCATCTCCGTTTTCAATGGTTGGACCAAAAACACGCCCCTACAAGATACGCAAGCTACTTCGAATAATAAGTTGTTCTAATAAACATGGTTGATTACTGAGAGCATGTGGCGTATTGAGTAACAATAGATGACTTGAAAACTAGGAGACCAGTTTTATTGGCATAAAAATATAGTTTTCAAGTTCAAAATCGAATTTACAAGCAACCTGAAGCAGGATAGTCCACGAGGGTCACAAATGTGACTAAAAAAATAACTCAGAGCGGTTCATTTGAATACTTAATGTAAAAGTGTATTTTAGCTTTCTTTTGCATTTTTTATTACTTTAAAAAAGACAATTCATAAGTTGCCTTGACAATTCAGTAGCTTGTTTATTCAAATTCGATTGTCAAGTCATTCAAAAATTAATTTTCCAAAAACTAGATAAAATAAACAAAAACTTTTAACTATAATTTCAGATACTGCAAAAATAAGCGAAATGAGGTAAACCAGCTGATAAAAGCTTCACAGCAAGCTGTCTAATCCTGAAAAAATTATACACCTCTCGCAATACATCATAAGCACAGCATGGCAGGCAAAGTGACAGAAAAGTCAACAAAACTGTTCAAAAATGTCGAAAACTAAACCAGACCTAATAAAATTTTCATACACTTGTTTTCTTAACAATAACGTCTCATAAAACTACAAAGCAGTTTTTTAAGCAAAAATACTGGGCCAGATGCGCGCTGAGCCGAAAAAACTGATGTTCAATTTTTTTTTGTGCTATGAAGCATTTTGAACATTTTAGGTTAAGAACTGCCGACTTTGAGATTACGAGTCTCACGTCCTCGCGATGGTCGCTTAAAAACAGGCAAATACTAGCAACCAATAAAGCCGTTAGAAACGATGCTATTCAGTTTGCAACACTATGCAGCAAAAGTGACATCAAATGAGCATTTTTATTTGCGAGTTGGGTTGTAATAATGTGTTCCCGGGGTGAGCTCACGTTGAAAATTAGCGATAAAAAAACTGAAAAAAAAAAACTGCGATCGCCATCGATGAATTATCGATGTTCATTGCCACAATAGCAAATTTTATCGATAAATTATCGCTAATTTGGCTAATGTTCAGCGATGAAACAGCGATTAGAAACCCATCAAAAAGAGCAAAAATAATGCTCTAACAGGTGTTCGCTCCCCCAACCTTCAGCTTTGTAGACATATATGCTACCTCAGCGCTACTCATCCTTTGCTGCACTCAAGTCAAAGGGCTTATCAATTAAAACTCTCATTTGAAAGCTACTAGAAGTTTAGGCAATGATTTTCTACGGAATCACTACTGAAATATCGCAGGTTTAGCTATGCAAAAAACCCTTGAATTATATAGGAATCAGCGCTGGAAAATAGCGATCACTGGAATACTACAGAAAACGCGATAGTTAACGGTGGGACTTCAACCCGGGGTTTCCTAACACAACACTATGCTCGCTAATTTGCTTGAACTTAAACGACCATTTAAAACGCTTAAAGTCTGTCAGTAGATTGACAAAAACAG